TTATAAAATACCTCATGAATAAAGGAAATTAATTAATTAAACCTAATCTTCACTTAAAGCTCATTGGGTATACTAGAAAAGAACTAATGTGTTGCAAACATGTTTCTGTGCAGCACAGCATTTACATTTTCCTCCTGTTTCAGCTCTCATGCCTGCCGTCCTCTGTTGTGAGGTGCAGAACAGCTGGCCTTAGATGGCTGAAGCGAATTCAAAGTATTGATTATATTAAGCTTATAAAAAAGATTCCTTCAAATTTAAGCTCTCCAGAATTACTGGTTTGTTTGATTTTATATTTAAACCTGCCAGGCTTAAAGGCAGAATGTAATTCATTTGAAAGAGGCAGCAGTGGGAAACCTTAGTTTAGTAATCAATACATGATTCTCTGAAAGTAAAGTTTTCACTGAAAACTCGGCTCTGCCTATTTATCTTTGCATATCATTTAATTAACTAAGAGAAGATTCAGTTGACATGTGAAAAAATGTATTTCACTTGGTTCTCATGTACTATCATAATCGCTATTATGCACTTACCTATCTGGGCAGTTTTATACATATGGCCAGTAAATAAGCCTGTAGCCTGAAACTTGAGAGTTCATGCTGCTAATAATTGTATTATCTTATTTAATACAATTACAAATATTACTCAGCACACACTTTTATGATTTCTGTTAAGGTAATTGTTACATTACCTTCTGACTCTAAACTTCACAGAAAAAAATCTCATCTACATTGCTTCCACTCATCAGAATAGAAATAATGCTACTTTTTTGATTTCTAGGTTGCTATGTACAGCAGATGTCACAAGAGCTACACAGTTCTTGTTACATAGAGATTTATCAATGTAGTGTATTTGCTGTTTTTTCTGCATAGCTTAGGTATACTCGGTATAACACTTCATAAAACACATGTTCAGCACGATACTCATTGTATCAAGTATGACAATACAGACACTCTGGCTGTGTTAGTGCTGCTTGTTACTAAATTATTTTTGAATTATTTATAATAGTGCAATTAAAGGAGAATTTATAAATGTGTCTTGATATTTCTGCTTCATCTAATTCAATGTATTTGTTTTCTTTAGGCTGTGCTGAGTCCTCTTATAGCAATCGCACTGAAAATATCTCAGATTCATGAGAGGACAGGGCGAAAGGGACCCACTGTCATCACCTGAAGCCACAGAAGATTGTTAAACCAGGGCCAAAAGCAAAGCAGCAAGGAAGAGACAGGATCTTGCTGAAACATGCTAGCCATTTGTGCCTTGTATGATTATAAGTTTTCCTGGGGATTGAGGTAGGGAGGGAAGAAACATTCAGTATAATATTGAGCATATTCATTTGCATTGATCTGCAAATACAGTAGTGTATTGATTTTGTTTTACCTGCAATATCTTAATTTCAGATAACAATATAACCAAAGAAAGAGGCCTTAACCTTCAACTGTTCTCGGGAATGTGTCAGAAAAGGAAAACTGCTTGATTTTGAATGCTGTGATAAAAGTTGGGGAGATTTCAGTTAGGAAGAGGGGGGAGAAGTTGCAAAACAAAGACATGCTTGGTAAATACTGTTTGGTGTTCTTGTCACCTTCTTGCTGGTTTACAAAGAGGTATACAGAGCATGTCCGAGGCATAAGGGCTGTATACTGCGGTTTGCAAAGGGTGTGTTTCCATACCTGACACCACTCTTCCTCTCCTGTCTCTCCAGTGCTCACACACACACGCTGGCAGCAGTGTTGTATACACACTTACACAGGCTCCCAAAGAAGGGGTTATCCCATATTTTTTTTACCCCTGCTTTTAAAGCATATCAATGTGACTTACGTATTTAGATTTTCCTGATTTTTTGACTGTGGGTTTTTTGTTTTCTCCGAAGAAAGGCATTTGGGCTATAGAAGCTGATTGTGACCTTCCAGCAATATGTCGGGTTTGGAATCTGGCTGGCCTTTGCATATTCTCCATGTCAGGAGGTGATACTGGTGCTTACTGTTTTAGAGAGGTAATCACTGCAAGTTCAGCAATTTTTCATGAAAGAGTTATTATGAAAGTTCTGTAAGTCTTTGGAATACTTATGCGCCACTTACCTCAAAGTGGTAAGTGAAGTGTGTAGTGAAGAGGAAATGAAAACAAACGCTGATGAATTAAATAAGAGATACTTGTCTGATTCACCATTTGTGTTAGATTCTTCATAACAGTGGATCGTGGAAAAGAAATCTGGGGAGTGCAAAGGGTGAATCAACATCCCGGCATAGATCTGAGAGGGATATTGGGGATATGGGCATCAACATTTTTATGCTTGTGAAATGATACTTCAGTTCTAGCTACAATACTGTGTCCTGAAGAAGAAGAAAAAAAAACACTTTATGCATGTGACTTGTTTGAAAGCTTTGCTTCCTTGGGAACAGTGTGGTCACTTGTATCATTCATCAAGGTGGCAAGGTACAACTTGCCTCTTTGCAGTGTGTTTCAATTTGTTATGGTTGTCAAAGTTTAGTGCAATTTATATAATACTTCAGCAAAGGAGAATGTTTTGATTCAACACTTCTGTCAAAAAATTGCTATGGCACTTAGTACACAATAAAGAGTAATGCTGTATTTCTGTCTTAATACATAATTGTGGACAAGACACTGCACTTTCAAGCATCCTAATAAAAATGCCTTTAATACAATTACATAATGTACTTAATTACTGTAAACAAATCAGGTACTAATGTTGTCACATAGTATTCTACCTTACGACTGGTAGTCACATAAAACAAAGGGGATTTGAAGCTGTTAGTTTTTTATAAAGATTTTTGTGGAGACCTCCGGGGCATTCTCACACAGTCTGGACTTCTACTTTTGACTGTAAGAATATTCATATTTATAGAAATCTTGTTTAACTAATCTTTCATTTTTCTTATGGATCAACTTCCTCTAGGTGCAGGATAGTAAGCTCTTAACTACTGGATCAGGCATGGTCAAACATATTCTGGATTATGACACTTAGTTCAAATTACTGGGCCACAGGAAAGAACATTCTGAAAGGAGTCCAAGAACTTCTAAAATCTTTTACACATTCTCTGACAATGAAATAATTTCTGATCACATGATGAACTAGCTATACTGGAAAGTGTCCTGTTTTCCAAACTTCTGGGACTACAACTTGCACTTTGAAAAGGGAGATACTGAAGCCAGGTGTCTTTCAACGTGCAGTGGGAAGACTTTTGAGGAGTAAATCAGGACTGGTGCTTTTATCAGAAAGTCACTAGAGCACCAGCTGCAGTAGATGGAAGTTTGCTTTCATGAAGACAGTCTTTGTGAACAAAGGATATGTTTTAAAATCTCAGTACTGACCTTCATCCTGGGCTTCAGAAACAATAGTTGTGCCCCTGCACTGAAATGTAAAAAATGGCTGTTTGTGTGCAGTTTTGCATAGCTGTCAAACAGAACTAGCCTAACCCCACGTCCATTCACCATCCCTTTTTAATGAATGGATATTGATAATATGTAACAACTGGTATTTTGCACCAGTTGATTGCTTTTCTATACAAGAAGACAAATAAAACTTTCTAAGGCTGAAGCACAGTGTATATCTTTATAGCTGGTGTATTTGGGGAAGGCCTGTAGCCATAATCTCATAAAGGGTACAGCTTTTCCTGTGGTCTTTTACTTATTAACATGAGAAATGAATGGTTGGAAAAGAGCAACATAGGTAAGCTTATGCAAAGATGCAAGGCTCCTAAACACAGACGATACACCTAGCAAAGCGAAAACCATTACTGTTTGTATTAATATCACAGTATCTGGGTGCTATGACAGAAACCCAGACCCATTTGTGGCTATTGTTGGATTAGCAGTTTCAGGAAGTCTGGAAATTGCAAGATTGATCCATTGTTCAGCTATGATTGCACTAACATTTACTTGGACAGTATTTCTGTTTCCCAAAGCCTCATCTTTTTCTGTACCCAGCAATACAAAGATAAACTCCCAGCATGCTGGAGGAAGAGGAAAAAAAGGAATTCAGAAAGACTAGTGAGAGAACTATCTCAAGGTACATTAGCAGAGGGCTGACCCAGAACAGAGAAAGAGGCAGCAAGTGGTGGAGAGGATTAGGAGAGGACAAACTGCTGGGTTCAGCTGGAAAGAGATAGATGTGATAAAAGAATAATAGTAACACAACAATGGGTTTTAGAGAGGGAACAGGGAAAAAGGAAGTAAAAGTGAGAAGGGAGCATAGTCTAAGAATGATTTTATAATATTCAATATCACCATCATGGCTTACATTTCTGGTGTATAGGTAGCCATAATGGTAAAGTTGTTGCCTTGGTGTATGTGGGCATCTGGAAACCATAGTAATTTTTATGTCTCACTTGTTCTGCAACAAAGACAGAAAAGGTTGCCCAGAGGGGTAGTGTATGTTCTGTTTGTGGAAACATTCAAGGTCAGCCTGGAGAGTCCTCTGAGCAACCTGCTCCAGTTGAAGATGTCCCTGCTCGCTTCAGGGGAGTTGGACTAGATGACCTTTAAAAGTCCCTTTCAACCCAAACCATGATAGGGTTTCTAAGAAAAAACACCTATAGTCAGTGTTGTGGGTCCAAATCTGAATGAACCTCCATCAAATTTTTATTGTCATCTGCAATTATAGATGTCAGTGGCCTGGATGCAAATTTGCCTCAGTGATTTTGTGGAAGGAAGGAAACCTGTAACAGAAAAAGGTTGAGTCTAAGCCTGTCCTCTTTCTAGTACTTGTTCTCTAACCGCAATGCCACTAGTGTCAGAAACAGGACACAGGAGCCCTTTTCTAGTTCCCACAATCTCCAATAGGCTGCAGTGGAAACAAGTGCTTTTAGAGACAGCTCAGAGGACTCAGAGAAGGTTTTTCCTCCTGCAATTGGTAATTTCCTGCTAGGAGCTATGAGCATGACAAGGGTTGTCTCTTTGGTAGCCAGGAAAGGTACTAAGTATGTTGTATTGTGTGCTTATAGTGAATCATGAACATGTCGTATCGTACAAGCAAAAGCAAGGAATGTTTTAAATACAAAATTTATTCATGAATTCAGTGGTAAAATACCGGCTGTTACTATTCCAAAATAAACCAGGTAACTTGGAAGGCATATGATACAAAAATAATCAGTTAAAAATATAATTTACAATTTCCAAATAAAAGCTGAGTTAGTAGGTTTCCCAAGTCAGCTAATGTTACAAAACCACAAAGACTTTCAGACAAAACTCCATTTGAGGCACAAGACATTTAAGATTAATTACAGCATGATGCTTTTATCTTGCAGCATAGGAAATTCCTATTGCCAGTGATGTTCACTGTTACAAGATACAGCCTCATCATTTCTATCTCTATGGAGATTCATTCTGCTTTGAAATACTGAACACATGTATATATATCCCCTCCACCTCCACTCAAACACACAAATAGTCAATGGTTTTCCTGGGCAATTTTAGCCTACATGGTGCACTGTTTAGGGATCACTGATACGTCTTCTTCCAGTTTTCTTTGTTTCACAGCTGCAGGACTTTGACTGCTGCCTGTCTCAGGTGTTTTGACAGCCGTTGCTCTTTCTGAGGTCCCCTGTCTGTCTGCATCCTGTTGGTAACTGTTTTCTTGTGTGAATGGATGAGTATTTGACTCCCCTTCAGGTTTTGGCTTTTGGTCATCTGTTTGCTCCTGCTGTAGCTGCTGCGCAAGCAATTCATATGGTGGTGGCTGTTCCTGCTCATTGGTTTCACTGATGAACTCCGCGCTGCTTTCACTATACAGAGGTGGAGGGATACTGAAGACTTCTTGCTGTTTTAGTGCAGAGGCAACTGGCAATGGGCTGGTCTGTTTTTCAGGATCTGTGCTGTACTCATAGGGGGGTGGATAGAAATCAGGCCTGAGGAAAAGCGAACCAAAAAGAAACACATGGTGAAATGTGATTTATTTCAGAGAGCTAAGTCGGATGCTTTGTCTGTTAGGTTTCCAAAGTTTCAGTGAGTCTTAAACTGTAAATAAAAACCTAGGTTTTTATTGATCTAGATTGATCTAGGTTTAGATCAATGGAATACATTACTATAAAACAACGGCATAGTTTTAATAATTACCTGTGTCTTTCTACAAAATGTGCTATTAAACCACAGAATTCTAAAAAAAAACCCTTCCCCACAAAGAGCTCCCACCCATGGTGTGCAAACATTCATGTTTGTACGTATTTCAGCAAGTGGCCAAGAAATGTTTGATTTGAAGAAGAAAGAGGTCATTGTCCAAAGTAGGTTAAATTAGTAATTTATCAATTATTACAATGATCATGGTTTTCCAATTTCAAAATTCATTTTGCATGTTTCTGCTTATCTAACCAAAATTTGCTGGATACCATTTCTGTAGTGTCTTTAGAGCACCTGTTGTCAGTATTTCTGATGCAGATTCCACAGCAGTACAGGAAAAATTATGCATTCAGTCAGAATGTTAAAGACTTTTGTCAGGCCTAGTGCCAATCAGTTTAAGAAAATCTCTCAAAGTATCAGTCTTTTGACAAGAGCACTTCGGTAAAAAGCATGTAGAGAGCTGAAGCTCCCTGCATACCTCATTGTTCATAAGTAATATGAGTACCTATCCCACAGCAGCACATCTGGGATTGTCTGCTGAGATGGAGCTAAGGATGCTCCTGCAGAAGCTCCATCAAGTCAGTGTAGCTGCACCTGCTGCCTCCATGCATGGCTGTGGACTACGCTGTGCAACCTGCTAAGTTTCCTGTAGAATACCTTACCTTGTGTCTTGCTTGCACAAACTGCTGTTTGTTCACATTGCTGCTTTCTCTAGTAAATCAAATGTCACACTACAGCTGTCTCCAGAGAAATACAATAAAATGGCTATATATGTTTTATTTAATAAACACCTTGTATTGCTTCATCCACCTCACAGTATGTTTGCAAAACAGCATACCTTCCTCTCAATTCAGCAGCAGCAGTTTGCAACACATACCTGTCTGTAGTGCTGACACGTAGCTCTCTAAGGCTTGGATTTAGTATGAAGATGCTGCTGAGGCCCCTGTATTTCAAGACTTCATGGAAAGTGCTCCAGAAAATGCCAGCCACAAGGAGAAAGAACCCCAAAGCCAACAGGCAATAAAACGCCAGCTCATTATTTCCACATCTGCAGGTAGAAGAACTCGTTGAAATGCACAAGACCCCCAGACACATAGTGGAGAAACTGAGTAAGAACACTAAAAGACGAATGAAGGTAAAAGCACCTTTTGGCATCTTTCCCAGCAGACACAGCACTTGGTTTCTGCCTGCTGTTTGCTTGCTGGCTCTCTCAGCTGTGCTTCTCATCTTCATGCGTTGTTATTTTATACGCTTCAGAATCATTTGGCCTTTGGACAATTAAGAGAAGCATGAGTATCTTTTAAGATACTCATTAACTCTTTGACGTACTCATAAGCTGTTTGGGATTAGTTTGCAATCTTACATCTACTTTAAGGAAGGAAACAGAAACATCTTGCACCATCCCTTTGCTTCTGTAAATTTCTGGAGTGCATACTGAGCAGCTGCATTCATTGCATGTAACAATTTGCAATGGTTTACACACTTAGCTGGTTTATGAATGAGACCTATATTTGTTTTGAACAGCCCCCTTCTCCAAAAAACCCCAACAACAAAGGCAGTGTTCATAACTCCCTGTTTAAAGTTGAAAGGGAAAATATACTTCCTTTTTAACTACATTTTCATCCACTGAAGTGGATTTTGGTCTCCATCTGTTTTTTTTTTAACACATCATTCAGCTGCCTTGATGCTTTTAATTGTTCTTTGAAAAAGGGTAAATTCTACCTTACAATGTGATATAATCAATGACTTTAGTAAATAAAAGGAAAGAAATCAGCGTTGCATAATGTCAGAAAAGGTTATAGGCATACAAGACATCTTCTTGTCTGCAGGTTCAATTGTACCCCAGTTCCTTTAGCATCATTCTCTTTTGTCTTCCAGCAATTTGTATTGAGTGATTTTCAAAAGGATCAATGCTCAAAGCTATGCAGGAACACCTATACCCTGTTTCCAGTTTTTCTTATTTCTGGCTTACTTTTGATGTTTCAGATCATACAGATTGCACACACACATGAATACTGAGTTATTCATGACTGGTATCCAAAGTTTAAGGAGTTACTGTAATTTACATCTTCTGTAGTACTTGTCCTTCTGCTACCACACAGTACTTACCGAAATAATTGTTCTAATGGAAACACATTTTTGTTCCTGTTTTCTGTTTATTGGTCTGTACTCTCACTCATCTGCATGCTTTGATTTTATAGCGGAACATGACAACATCATGTCTGTTATGATGTAGGCTAAGTTAATCGTCACAGAAAAAGCTAGGCAGGAAGTTATATTATGGCTATGTGAAAACATTTAAGAATTCAGATACATTCCTGTTCTGTTCCAGGAAAAGAGATAAAAAGAAATATTAGGAAAAACCGCTAATGAAGAAGTTACAAAAATAAAATGACTCTTAGAAGAATCAAAAGCTAATGAGGCTACACCTCACATGGTGGGAAGAACTGGTTTGTATGATAAACTTCAGCTTCAGAAAAACAAATTAATTTTCTATCCCAGCCAGTTCCCTTATACAAAATTCAAGAGAAGCAAGCGAGACCTGTCAGTGGCAGCTGCTGGCTCTGCAGCATTGTGAAGGCAGAATAAGCCCACCACAGGAAGATTGGTCTTGCGGTGCAGTGAACTGGGGACTGCTCAACAGTGACCCCACCTGTGGATGGAGGGGTGGCCAGGGAATGAGGTGTTAGTCCCTTGTGGTGCTGCGGGACAAGAAATATAGGACCTTTTCTTATGGTGAGGCTGTATGTCTGCCAATTGTTTCACATTTGCACATCTTCCTATTTTTGCAAGCTGAGGAAGATCAATGCTCTCTGCAAGAGGCCGGTTAAGTCCCTGACAACAGGCTATGGGTATCTTGTCCTTGAAGAAAACACTTGATTTCAAATTACTGAATCTCATGTAGGATGTATTTGAGAAAAAGGAAGACAAACTGAGGAGCTGAAATAGCCCCACAATGCTGTTTAATTTTCAGTATGCCATTATTTTTCCTGTTTTCTGTCACTTAAGATTTTCTGTAATGTTGTTCTTGGCCTTTTTCAACTACCCTAACATTTTGCAGCTTGACTGTTTTACTGGCTGTGTCTTGGACTGCATCAGGCTGGATGAGCAGATTTCCAGCTTCTTGTAGAAAACAGGAAGAAACTTGCTTCTAATGAGGGTCAGGTGAGAAAAGGGAACGGCTAACATGGTGTAAAGGTTGCTGAGTAGAACTGGCTTCAGACCAAGGTCAAAAGGTAGCAGTCCAGACGCACAAAAAGCAATTCTTAGGAAGTGTGATTGAAAATTAACTTAATGGATGTTCCACTGGACGATTTGACAACTGCGACTGTTTTGCAATTTGTATGTCACTTGGAAAGGTCACTGCTTATCCTGCATCCTGTTGAAACCTGTAAGGCAGTTTTCTCACGAACCACTTGCTGGAGTTATGAAACTTAAAAAGAAATTAGTGATATCAGACACATTTAAATGATTTTTTTTCAAACAAATCCACATTTTAAAAAATGCTAATAAAATGGAAAACATTAAACTCAGAAAATTTAAAAATAGATAAAATAGATATTTTAATGGAAATATGTGGGATATAGCAGTACCAGCTGCATATCATATTATAGCACATGATATATCATATTACAGGTCCCTTGTGCTACTGGCACTAAAGGATTGTATTTCACCAGAAATTTCAAGATTATGTTTTGCCCTAGTCTGAAATGTATCCTTTTTAATGAACTGAAAACCAGTCTTCATTTTATCTTCTCTTATATTTAGCACCCTAAATGATTCAAAGGGTATTTTACGTTCCTGTCAATAATTCAGTGCAGTTTTACCAATGGGTCTCTCTTTAGTAATTCATTAAAAATTTGCATTTGAGAGCATGTAAAATTATTTTAAGCTCTGCAGACATAGTCTTTTCTCTGTATCATACCTGAATTAATCACAATGATTTTGAGAGCATTATAGTCTTTGGGAATGCATTAATAGTAGAAGCAATGCAAGCATCAAAACTGTATTTCACAGGCTAGTTCCCAGCTTATGAGTTTGCTGATATCTATGCAAATCTAGATGTGTGAGCACAGCCAAGGACAGTCTTTGTCTTTGGAGACACTTCGGTGTTATGAGGTCTGGATGCTATTTGTGAATGAATGATTGAACTATATAAAAAAAAACAGTTCAGTTTATTATATAAATACTTAAAAGGAGGAGGGCTGAAATAGTTTGTAAAGAATAAGCTATAGCATTTTTACAGCAAAATTTCCCCTATTAGTTGAGAATGGTCTATCCCAGAAGTGGGTAGAACAAATAAGCAATAAATACTAAGACTTACAATAAGGAAAATACAGGTATCTTTAAAATCACTGAGAAATTTGAGTTTTAACAAATAATATTGAGATGAAGCTAAGGTGTTCTCAGCAGATGCAATGGTTTCTGTTCTAATTTCTTACTGTTAGAAAGAGAATGCTAGTTTCCTGTGCCAAAAATATACTAGTAGACATCATTCTGTCTGCAAGAGTTTATAAAGGAATCACCTACCAGTGAAAATACAAGCATGCTGTATTTGTCTTATACTCACATCTTTTAAAATATCACATCTTGCATGATATCCAGGAACATAGGAAAGTTCTGAATAGCATATGCATTGCTATCAACTTACAGGTAAAATACTATTTTGTGCAAGAAATCAAAGCACAACATATAGCTTCTATGCATACTTCCAAACAGGCCTCAGAGAAGCATGCAAACATATGACATATGGCATTGGCCATATGAACTGTGCTGTCCTCCTCTAGGAAAGGTGAAAACTACACTTGGCACTTGTTTGATCTACCTTTAGTTTTACATTGAGGAAGGCACTGAAGCGCAGTCCTGTTGGCACTGATGCCTATTTACCATTGGCAAAAGGAGTGAAGTCAGGTCTTCAGGCATGGCTGTAAGACTTCATCAGTTTTGTCAAAAGCAGATTAGAAGTGAACTTTGAAGGAACTGCTGATATCTCTTGTTCTAACAAAGCACAAAAATCTTACAACTAGCTCTTTGGTGGTAATGGAAGGTTTAATATTAAAGCAGGAGCTCATATTTGCTTTCAAATTTGGTTGAATATTATAATGTAATTAGATTGAATCTCCTGAAACTCTTATTTGACCTCCATCATTCCAGGAGGTTGGCTAAGCTCTACAATCAAGTATCAGATGCTAACAGATAGTTAGAGTTTAATTGTTACAGGTGTAACTTTTCAGAGTTTTAAGTAGGAAAGACCCAAAAGCTCTGCTATAGTTTCAAGGAAATATCCTGTAGCACAGTTTTACATGAAACCAACAAATAGTCCCAGGTAACAAAGCCTTGACATAACTTCTAGCAATTATTTTCAAGAGTGAATCTGGTGTCAGAAATTACAAATAGCTGTGTTTTGTTTTTTTTTAACTGCAGTGCAGTCTTTGGTATGTGCTTTTGTTTGCAGTGGTTTACCCACCTCTGATTTGGACCAAGCAAGTTGTTCAGAACTCGAGGTAGCATCAACAGTCCATCATTCATGCAGTCAGGTTTGTGAAGAATCAGGTTCTCAGCCCTTCTTACAGTATATCTAATTTGCACAAGCAAACGAGGGGCTTGGAAATCACAAGAAAATACAAAATCAAAATAAATTAAATAAAAAAACCAAAGGGGACAGTGCAGCAGCCTAGGCAGTAGTTAGCACAATTGCGCAATAGATGGTGAAACACATGGAAGAAATCTATAGTCGTTAGCTCACAGAAAGGTTTCACTGTGTAAATTTTTCAGTTTTGTGCAAATGAACAGCCATGGCTGAGGGAGAATGGGTCAGCCATACTCATTAAAAAAAAAAAACAACAAACCAGAGGGCAGACTAATACAGAAATTCCTAGTAGAAGGTGGAGGTCAGAGATGACGGTCTGCATTTTGGGGAGTGGATCCAGGAGCATCAGCAGAGCACCAGCAGACTCCTAGTGCTCTTCAATTTTCAGTTCAGAAACCTGATACTGGCAGGAAGTATATACACAACGCTGCTCATTAATGTGTGAAGCAAGGAGACCTATATCTAGATGGCTGCTGTAAGGGAAAATGGAGTGCAGGATACTGATACCTCCCTGGTGATTCAAAGAGGAGCGTGTTAGGACTGAGGATCTGAACTGCACCGCCAGCAGTTGACAATCCAGTTGCAAAACTCACTAACTTCACACCTCTGAGAGGATCTCTGTTCTCCTTGGAGGCCGATACAGAATACTGTACTGGCA